TAAATCACTGGTGCTACAGTGATTTAAACTTATTTTGATATGATCAGGCAACACAATCATACATTCTTAACAAGCCAGCTTTCTCCTAATAGGGATAAGGGCCATTCTGAAAATGTAACTAATCTTCAGAGCTTTTAATGCATAATGAGTTGGAAACATGGTTTGTCTCCTGTGGCAGAACGGAAGGAGGATCGCTGAACAGTGTCAGTGTTTAACTCTGTGTGCTGGAAGTGTTTGGTTCATGTTTTAGTAGGTTTCTGCTCACTCGCTCAGCCCGTCTGGGCCCAGACAGTATTTTCTCACTTTGAGCATTAGTTTCATTGGCATGTTTCTGAATACCATTAAAAAAAATGTCCTCATCAGTATTGATACTGTACCCAGTATCTGAAAGCAATGAGGAACATATATGTTTAATTACTTACTTTGCAAGTTATCAGAACATTGTTATTCACATAAAGGGTTCTGACGTTCATGAGATAGCCGTTTAAACATTGATTACATGCATCTGTGGATTTCCAGCTAGGAAGCTCCTGCATTGTTTAGGCACTCCACATTTCATAATTTGCTGTAATAGTAAAGGCTGATTTATACTCAGAAACCAAGTCGTCAGCATATGTGTTGTAGTGAACGCAAATGTTTTCCCTCTTGCGGCGTGGAATAACATAGTGCAGACCACGCTTCAATATTGGGCATAAATCAAAAATATCTGCGACAAGTTCACTGCGACACACTGCTGCGGGAGTATGACCTGCCTTTAAGATATTGGAGGCAGGTTTCCTATGTTGTTCTGTTCTATTTCTTACATGGGTTGGTCCTGACTGCAGCCATTTTTTGGATGTAAAATTTGTCATACATAATGGTCAAGGCTAGCAGTATATTTAGTTTTGGTTTGTCGTTGCCTAGGGTATGTAATCATAGGAAAAAATCCCTGCATTGATTTAGGTTTTAGACAAATCTTTACGTTAGCAGATAACCCAGTGGCTGCCTTTGTCTCCACTCCGCCTGAGTGTTAAACTTTCAAACAGTCACACGTCCCTCAAGTGAACAAATTTGTGGCAAACAACAAACTTTATCAGCACTTTTAGGTGTCTATGTAGATACACTGAGACATGCACACTGTGTGATCTGCACACTAATGAATAAAACTGCTGCCTTCTAATTCATCAGAATAATTGGAACTGCCCTTCCCTGGTTTGAGGAATTTTTTATCCCAAAAGCAGCCTTTCTCTCTCTCTCTCTGTGTTTTCTTTCTGTTTTTGTGCTGAAAGGGCTATATACACAGATCTGAATTCTGAAATAAAATCTGTAGTGTTTCTAGTCCTCTGGATGTAGTGACATTGTCTGTCTACACTATCATAAAAAGTAGGTTTATTCCTCACACGCTTGTAAACGTTTTGGAATCTGTTATTAGGAAAACACTAATAGCCTAACACTTCTAAACAATTTGCAAGTAATCAGTGCACATTTTATACAACCGTAAATTAGTAAAATAGCGATTCCTTCAAAATAACACACAGTCTTTGATAAATAACCCAGGGGATAATCCCCCCCAGAGAAAATGCCCAAATTGCGCTCAATTATCCATTTTCCATATATGACTCACTATTGTTCCAATGTATCAGCTCTAAATGGAGAGCAGTTGTTAGATATGGTTTTATAACTCTTAAATACTGTTGACTAGAAGATCTACATAGAGTAGCACTTGATGGAAAAAAGAATCTTCTGAAGAAAAGCTGCTCTACATAGACAAGGACTAGACTATAAGAAAATTACCATCACACAGGTTGCTGCCCATTAATAAGACCATATAACTGTTTAAAGAGGACGCGTTCCACTCAGCTTGGCTCCCCATGGTTGACAAATAATTTGAGTTCATATGCTTGGCATTGCGGCCAGAGGGTGTCTTTTGGAAATACACGAGAGTACTGGAACATTGCTGCAGCACCTAAAGGAATGGAGTGTCAGTTCTCGACGAGGGTATTTTTAGGGATAGAAAAAAAAAATCACACTTCTTTTTGTAACTACTGTCCTAAAGAAGCCTAATTTACCTCTGCCCTCCAGTTTACTAAGAAAGATCTTAAAGGGGTTAAGATTTTGTTTGTTTTTTTATCGTCAATTTTATCATATATCACTCCAAACATCATAAGATAAAGTCAATATCTCCCAACTCTAATTTGGAACATTATAGTATTCATGAGTTGCAAGACAACCACTGCCTTGCTGAAGGCATCTAGGGTAAATGTGCTGAACTACCCAAGCATGTTTCTAAGCCCAAACCTTAATGGGTATCTGTGGGGCTTCCTTGAAAAACAAAAGGGGGAGATGTTGACAGAAAGGAATGGAAGAGGATTCCAGTCTCATTAGTGAAATCCATAACCAAGAGAAATCAGGAAGTGCTGGAAAGTAATGGTGGCCCTACAAAATCCTGAAAAATGTAATCACAATTTGGACATTTCAACTCAGGATGGTCCAGTAAAAGTAAATCTTATATTTTAGGGCTGAAACAATTAATCAGATTATGATTAATTGATTATTGAAATAATTATCAACTTATTTAGTATTCGATTCGTTGTTCAATGGAGTATAGAGACTGATCATGCTTTTAGCTGACAGAGTGACGCACTTAATTGGTAATTTAACCAAAATTGTTTAAAAAAAAAAAGAAAATTTGCATTAAGATAAACTTTTTTCCACCAATGTGCTCTCCTAAAGTCATTTTTTTTGTTTCATCTGGTTTAAATTCTGTAATCAAATTTGCTCTAAGCAACCTTTAATATCTGAGTATTCATTTATTAGCAAAAATATAGTTAGGTTCAGCCCTATTTACAAAAAACGTTAGGGGTCTACCCACTTTGTGAGATACTGTTAATTGGTAAGATACTTAAAAACCTAAACAAATGGTTTTTAATGAGTTTTTTTAAAGAGGAAGTATAAGGACAATTGATTCAGCTCTAAAGATTCCCAGAAAATGAAGGTTGCATTTTATAAAGTACAGTAACTCAAGAAACAAAGGCTGCTGTCTTGCTGCTTTTAAGAGCCGCCTTGTTAAAGAGGCAGCATAGGGTTCCAATTCGATGCTTTCTCACTGAACTTGGTATTTATTGTTCAATTGGTTAAATTAGAAGTAGGAAAAATGTTCCACCAAATACAGAAAAGTACTGCTTCAAGAAAGGTTTAAACCAACATTTATCTACAGCATCTAAACATTTGTTAAGCAAGTTTTTTCCCAGAGAACTACTAGGAACTATTATTTTAACGACTTAATAGAGAAAAAAATTAATATTACCTTTTTTCTGTTGAGATCAAATTTGATTTGATTATTTTCAAATAAAATGTATAACATTAACTATGAAAGAATTGGTTTTGTATATGTATATTTTGTATTTTTGACATAATTATTAGGTTTATGTTAACGTTCATAATTAAAGCGTTTAAATTTTATTGTATAATTAAAGACTAATTAGAAAAGCATCTCCTATACTGGTGTCTTTCTCAATCTACAAAGACAGCCACAATTAAACCATCTGAATTACTGGGCACAGCACAAAGTTTATGTTCAAAGGGATCATTTTTTTGTTTTTTGTGTTTTTGTCTTTGTCTCCTTTCAAATGCAAACGTGCTTTATGTCTCTCTACTGAAGCAAGACAGCATGCCTACCTCCTTTGTCATCTTCTATTCAACTCTCCATCCTTAAACTCTGCGGCAGTCAAGTGGAAAACCAGACCCTGCGTGGCGTAAACTCAGACGCTAATAATTTTATGTTTGCTTCACTTCTTTAAGACCTCTGGGGTTGTTTTCTCCCATCTTATTTCACCCTGAATTTCCTCCATCTTACTGAAAGATGCCAGTAAAATTGTACCTTAAACTTCCACCAGAGGTGTTTGGTCGTGCAGCTTTAAAGATTGCTATTTGTCTAAATCTCATTGCAATACAGGCTTGAGCGAAGTCTGAGTTGCCATAATTGTAACTATTTTAGTACGTTTAAAACAATGGTCGTCTGGTGTAGATGTATGTATTTAATTACTCCTTTTATAAGGATGTGCCATTTATTCTGTAAGCATACCCATTGCCTCAGCTGCATCTCTTGTTATTTTTTTTTTTTTTATTTATTTTTTTTTTTTTTCTTTCATCTGGTCGGTGACATCTGTCACAGAGCCTGGAGAACAGACTACTAGTTGATACGAAGTGAGCGCTGGATTTTAGCAACTGTTTAGAGGATGTTCAACTGTCCTATTTTTGTATTATAAGGGTTAAAAATGTTCAAAATGCACAAAAGAATTGCAAAAATTTAAGAGCAAGTAAACTAGAATTTGGGTGGTAAATGATTTAATAAGGACATCTAAGCCAGAAGAAGAGTCTCTTTTTCTTCAGGCATACCTTGCTGCTATTGGAGGATGAAATGTCCTCATTTAACCTGCACAGATTGATAACATGATCTACACACAGAGTTGACCAAAATGCTTCAAATTGTATAGATTTCTAGAAAATGGTCCAAAGAGAGCAGACATTTCCTTATTATTCTATTCAGATTTCCAGTTTTTTCAACAATAATGATAGAAATATAATTAAGACGTATTATGTTAAGGGCTTGAATACTATTTTTTTGCGGCTGTGTTTGGTTACTGTATCCTATATAAAGGATTGTTGTTGTACTTGGAGAATAAAGGGAAACGATTCAGCTTCGAAGACTAGAAGTTTCTTTACTAGAATGGAATTTGATCAGATTGATTTCTTCACTCATGTCTTTACTGTGTTTACCCTCTGTAATATTACACTGCCTCCCTAAATGTGTATCCAATGTTTGGGGGGATTTGGAATGAAAAAAACTACTTTCCTATCTAAATGCAAGGTCTGCAATACCAGTGCTCTGTTCGATGCTTCAATTTCCTACAAAACATTCATTTTACAAATTTCCCCTTGTAAGTGAACAAGTTGCCAGTTGAACATAACACTGCCAAGTCTAACGTTTGTCTCTCTTTCCCTTTTTCTCTTTCCCACAGAGTTACATTCATGGAAGCAGCCAGGCTCAGTTTGTGGCCGAATCTCACATCATCCTTCTTCTGAGTATCCTTTCATGGGCTTCTTTATGATCCCTGGCCTTCAAAATGCTAATCACAGAGGGCAATTTTAAGGTCTCTGAAATGTCTCAGGCTCAACTTGGCAATATTTCTACTACATTCAACAACAGGTGATACAAAGCATGCTGGACGTTTTCCCTTAACTTAGAAGCCATTTAATTTAGTTTTTCTTTCACAATATTAAAGCATTCCTTTCTGTGGGTACTTTAAAAGAATAATGACAACTTCCAATAACAAATAGAGAAATTGCCAGTGCAAATGTTTCCTTGATGATTTGTTCTAAAGTCATTGACTCTTGAAAAAGCTCTATGGCTGTTTGAGTCATTGTTTGTCAGAATATCTTTTTTTTCTACTTTGCTTTTATGCCCATGTGTATTTCCTCTGGTGCTTTCCTCTTTTTGTCAGTAATGATAACATTCATTCCTAACTGTTGTATTCCTCCCAATAGCTGGTCCAAGGTCGCACCTGCTGCAGAGAAGTATTTGTTTGTTCATTTCTCAGAATGTTTAGCCCTCTAATCACAGCTAGATGGAACAGGCATACCTGTCCACACCTAAAAAAAAAAAAAAATCTTCTTTTATTTAATGTTCATGTGTTGAAAAGACCTTTTTAAAGCATCACTCTTTTTTGATATTCTTTGAAAATAACAAAAAACTTTGTTTAATCTCTTTTTTTTGTTATCCAATGAACAGCTTTAACAATTGAAGAAAGAAAAAACTTTTTTAGATATTTATATGGCTACCTTCTACTGTTTGCTTTAAAGTTCTTAAGGAAATGGTTTGCAAAATCATAAGGATGTTATTTTTACAAATATTTAATGAACAGGCAAGACCAAAATACAACATTCTGTGTTTTAGGACAACAGAAACGTTCCTCACGGGTATCTATGGTATGAAAGCATGAGCAAAGCCAAAAGTATGGGGGTTTTTGTTTTGTTTTTTGCTTTGCTTTGTTGTGTATTTGAGAAATATCACACCTAACTTTTACTTATGTTATGATAGCACCTAAAAAAACAAAACATAAAATGCTTGTTCAATTGTTGAGTGGTGGGTTTGGCCCAGGCATGTGCGCCTTCACCATAACGCAGATTATATTCCAATAACCAAACTGCCCAATTTCAAGGCTGGTAAATGTGAACAATTACCATATGAAAATTGAACTCAACTGGGGTCACAGTTTTTACATATTCAGTAGCCCTTCTAAAAACTGGAGTGCAAAATATCTGGGGTCAATGTTGCTACAATACAAAAGAGACTGATACAAAAAACAATGGAAGGAGAGGTAGATTCTGTGCTCATGTAAACCTATTTGGACTGTCAGAAATAACAATAGTTGAAAAGTATTGATAAAGAAATAACAAGGGAGGCCAGCAGAAATCAATGCAGTGAGATGCAGACCCAACTTGATACATTCAAAAAATCAACTTCAATATTTTGGTATGTTTACACAAAAAAGTAGAATATCAAAGAACCCTTAAAAGAGACATGGAGGGAGGTAGAGGTTTACATCTCTTCACAAAAGCATGTTTTCTTCCTTGATCTAATAAACATAACCTCCCACGAAGCACCTTTGTTGTTGTTTGTGTTTTGACCTTTTTTGTAAGACTTTAAGATTGGCTATGCAGTGCACCTTAAAAATAGTTTCATTTTCATTTTTAATAATTGCAATTTCTACTTCAAACTGCATGGTTTGTAACCTCATCTGTCTTTAACAACTCTTCATTAAACTGCCTGTAGAACAAAGATTTTGCTCATTTTAGTGGCAGTAACCAAACTGGTTTGGATGTCTTAACATCTGTGCAGCCATCTTTGCAGTTTGCCAGCAACATTCCCACTTATATAACATATATAAAAACAATGCAGGTGCAATTTAGGCCCTTTTAATAAAATCTTTGAAAGTCAGATGTAAACATTTTAACAATTTAATGTTGTTGATGGGTTGCAGGTCTGATGTTTAAAGGCCTCCTCGCCATCACCCTGACTATTAGCTGCCTCCACTGATTCTCTATCAGATTCAACTCCTGGCCTTGGCTGGAATAGTCCTTATCTTTAATATTACTTTAAGTCTGTAGAAACGTATTGATAAGATAAAAAGATTAGCTTAGCCCTAAATCTGCCAGGGTAATGAATAGCATTGGGATTAACTGTAGCCTTTGTTTCAACAAAGATTTTGTTATTCAAAACTGGACGAAATACAAGCAGAAATTCTAAATATATTATTGCAAAAATAATATATTATTTTATAAATATTATCTTCTCTTTATCTTTTCTATTTACCTGTAGGTACAGTAAATATTTTGGTTCACTGTTCATCAGCAACATACTTGAATTTGTTTTTAGAATTCATATATTTTCTTTAAGGGAGGGTATGTAAACTTTCAAGCACAGCTGTATCTTACAGTTGCAGCCATATGATCTCTTCCTCTCTAAACCCGACAAACAAAAAATACATTGTTTTCATTTAATTTAATTCTTTCTCTTATCTTAACTGAGGATAGAAACTAAAGCTACGTTCACACAGCAGCCTGAAGTGACCTAAATCCAATTTTTTTTTTTCCCCTATATGCGACCTGTATCTAATCTTTTCATGGCAGTCTGAACGACACAGATCCGATTTTTCCCAATGCGACCCAGGCCCCTTGGCTATGTGGTCCTGAATCTGATACGAATCTGATCTTTTCAAATGCCACCTGTGTCTGAACGGCCAGGTTGCGTTCATCAGACCTGAACACCAATTAATACCTGGCAATTGTCACATCTCTGCATCTTGCTATGCAGATGCGCCAAGAAAGACAATAATCATGGCAGACGATGATGCAGAGAGTAGTATTTATGTTTAACCATATCGAAAAGTGTTTTTAAGGTTGGGGAAGATCACTAGATGCGCTCCAGCACTACCATCCATGTTTGCTTCTGTAAACACAGAGCATGCTGGCTTGTGACGTCATTGCGTCCTCTGCTGCGCATGTGGGACACTTATGTTGTATGACTGCAGTTCACACAGGAGATCACATACAAGTCCCATATATATTTGGAAATGTGAAAAGCAACGCAAAAAAATCAGATTTCGCAAAAAAATCGGAATTGAGCCTCATGGCCTGCAGTGTGAACGTAGCCTAAATATTGTTTTGTTTTTTGCATTTTTAGTGAGGTTTGTTTTATTATGAAATGATTTGCACCATAATCTAAATTAAAAATTCACCCTGGCCTTTTCTCAACAATTGATAAAGCTTTTAATTGTATCCTAAAGGCAGTTCTATTCATTTCCAAACTGTTTTATCTCTGAGAACTCTTTCCAATTAGTTTAAAGATTTCTGTGCTTATGCATTTATTTGATAAGCTGCATATGCATCCATATGTCTAAAAGTTCGTTCTGGGTCATTTTATTTTTCCACCTCCATCCTTCCTTTTTTGGGTCTTGTTTGCTTGACAACATCTTCCCAGATGCTGCGATCACCATGGGAATGGTTCTGCTCAACGAAGCTGCCACCTCTAAGGGAGATGTTGGCAAGAGAAGGAGTAAGTGTTTTCCTTTTTCTCTACATGTTGGTTCTTGGTCTGTTTTTTTTTTTTTTTTTTTTTTTTTAAGTTTTGTCAGAAATATAAATATCCATATACAATTTCTTGGTTGTTATAACCAATAAGTTTTAAAAAAAAATAAGTAAATGGTTTGCAACACAATGTATTCCTCTCTAAATGCTTGAGGAGAGTGCTACTGTTGCTGTAGATAATGTTTGTAAAAAAAAAAAAAAAACATTATATATCAGATATAATGACTTGCACTTAAAAATGTTGCCACTTTTTAAGCTGTTTTTCATTAACAACATTTTAAACCCTAACTCACTTTTTTTTTTGTGATGGCTGCTATTAAATATTCATGGAAAATCCAGCTTAAGATCCATTGCAGTCAATGACCTTGTTTTTTTAAGGAGGCAGCGATGCAACAATGTACAGCAGAGTTAAGGGAGAAAAAGCAGAGCAGCACCTCAGAATAGATTTTCAACCCTAAAAGTATCATTCTCTCTACATTGTGGCATTAAAATATCTAAAATTGAATTTAAAACGGTAACAGATAAACTAGATTCTTAATCATACAATGTTTTGTTTGAAATAGATATTTCATTTCTTTATACATTTGTTGTTGTTTTTGAATTATAGAGATAAAAATCTGGTCATGCCAAAAAATTTTTTTTTTCAAATCGTTGAATTTTGCCATTCTTTTGTTCTGCTTTGTGAAATTGGTTCAATAGTCAAAAAGAAGATGCCAAAAGGAGGAAAAGGAGCATGGTCTGTACTGAGTTTATGGTCCTTTCTGTGGCCTGTGTGAGAGTCTTAAGTTAAGCATAGCCACTCCCCCCCGCTAAGCAGATTATAACTGTTACCTTAAGTGAAATGCTTTTTTTTAATAGTGCAAGTTAAAGTTAAACTCAAACTATTGAAATTAAACGCAGCATTAAAGTGCATTTTTATAATTTTGTATCCCAGTCTATGAAGAAGAGGCCAGACTAAACACACACAAGCTGAGCTTTACCAGAGCACAATTGGTCAGGAGTTAATAAGAATACTGATCTATTTATAAACCCCAAAGGTAATAAAAAATGTTTTGTTTTTTAATAACCAGAATTGCTGAGCGAAACATTATATACAGAATATAGATGACGAATGCACAGGCCAATTAAAGTCTTTACTGTTATCTGAGGATTTTTCCTTCTAATGGCTATAGAAATATGTTTAACATTAAAATATTACATCAGATTAATAGAAAAAAATGTTTTATACAGAAATGTGAGCTTAATGAACCTTAATGAAACATATATTTATTACCTGCTCCAAGTTTATTCTTAAAATGTTGCCTTTTATCTAAAAGTTTCATCAAAATGCATATTCTAGTATTAAACATAACAGTTATTACATTAGAAACAGGCCTAATAGCACTATATCTCCTTACAAAGGCTTTGGTATTATAAGTTTGATAATTCGGGGGGAGAGAATCTACTACAATGTTTCTGGTCAGTTGTACACTGGTGATGTTGTAAATTTAGACAACTCTGTTGGTGAAAACACTTTTTATTGAATCACAGTGTTAAGCACTTTTAATAGCCCTGTCAGCACTTTTCGGCCACTTAAAAAAATGCTTTGTGGACACGTGCCCTCAAGGTAAGATTACCCAAGAGTTCTTGTTGAGACGTTCAAACTGCAAAATTAAAATGAACTGCTTCAAGCATTTATTTTCTGCAGCATTAAGCCGAACTTGCACAGACTAAAGATTCATGTTGGGTTTACAGACTTTCCATATAGTTTGTAGTAGACAACTGAGTGGTATTGCTTATCAACTTTTTTTTAAAGACAATCTTTTCTAAAAAAATCTTTTCTGCTATTAAAGAGTTAAATTAAAAGCTGCTCCTTTGAAATACAGAAAAATTTAAGATGTTTCTGCACCTCACACAACACACCTCCAATAATTAGAAAAATACTGAAATAAGTTCAAAGTGCCTAACCATAAAGTTGATTTATTTTAAAACATGTCACACAATGTATATAATAAAGACATACATGTTTTCAAATAAAATGTATTTATTATAAATAAATACATGTGGCCCATAAGTCTAAAGTTTCGTACTTAATGATGGTTTAATCGGTAGAGGTGCGTTTAAATCCCCAGCATACAGTTTGCATACTGCTGAGTCCTGCTATACAGCATTATCTCCTGCTGCTTCCCCTAATAGTTCACATGGGAGATACAGCTTGTTTAAATTGAGTTGTTCAATTGGTAGATCCAGACTGTTATTAAAGGGGTATGCGTAACGCTGGTAGAGACTAAATGGAAAAGAGCCTGATGTGTGAAAATGATTAGAATGTGAGTAAAAGAGACTCCAGTGTAGACATGAGATAAAAAAAAAAGATATCAGGTTAAAGATAAAATGATTATCAGATTAGCTGAAATAATTTCATTAGCTTTGATTAAGGAAACATTTCTAATACTGCTTTGTTCGGTGAAGTAGTGAAGGTAGGTTAATGTACATACATAGGAATATAATTAAAATGTATCTTATTTATCTTTATACTTATGAAACACAGCTCATTTAAAACCACGTGTTTCTCCGACTGCATAAAGTTAAAACCATTTAAAAAAAATTAGTAAACTGACAGAGAAATTTTAAGTTAAGCAATTAGTAAATATTTTACTGCTTTTACAAGAAGTGCTTTATCATTGCAGAGTTGCATGAAGTTCAGCATCCTGACTCTGCTGAGGCCCCTAATTAATAAAATACTTCTGCACATGAAAGACCTGTGGCGCAATGTTAAATTTAAAACTTGTGATATATGGAAAAATATGTTGAATGAAAGTGTGCAAAAAAAAAAATGTAACAAGTGTTAAACTGACGTGACAATTTTTTTAAAATCCACAATAACTTGCTGTGAAGCACTAAAACTTACAAAATGAAATTAAATGTGACTGATTTAAACTGAAAGAGCTTTGAACCTTTTTATTTTCCACTGTTTTGAGCGTTTATGATTTAAACCTGAATGATAAAAACTAAATCACACTGTAACATACCTTAGCATCCTCAGTCCATAAGCTCTGATTATTCCTCTGTTTACGTCTAAATGCACATCGGCTTGTTCGCAGATTAGCATACTAGCCACTTTTATTCTCAAAGGGACATCATTATTCTAACACAAAAAAAAGGTGGTGGATCAGTTACTAATTCCAAACAAACCAGAGTTGAGTATTTTTCAGTTGGACAAGGTGTGGATAATTACACATGTCCATAAAAAGGTGCTCAAGAGACATACGTAATTGTGCAAGGATTCCAGCCTTGACACTGCTGGAGGACATCGCCAGTGGAAGAATGAAGAGGGTGTGTTTGTTCAGAGATCCTGTTCGTCAATGAGGATGACTTGATTGTTTTCAGGTTTAAATTATCCAACCTTACATGGGGTGATGGAGGAATCCCGCGTTACCATGCCAGTTAGAGATCTTACTACCAGTCTGTGAAACAGAAGGGTTTTTCTAAAAGGCTGATCAACAGGTTGAGTATTTACCAATCATTCTGAGCTTTCACCATGACAGCCCTATCCGTATGTTGCTGAGATAAATCAACTTCAGTTAAAATCTGCTTTAGTAAATATATATTCAATACCATTTGAATCCAGGAGTCAAATTCCAAAGCTGTAGCTGAGCTCTGCTAAATAAGACTTTCATTAGGTGTACATTAATTATTGTATTTGCATGTCAGTTTTGCCCGAAATAATCCCAAAAAAGGTTAAATTTACAATAATTTGACTATTCCGTAAATGTGTGGTTGTAATCGGTTGTCACAGTGTGTCGCAACTGTCTGTCCGAGTTTTTCTTTGAACCTTCAGGACATCTATGTCCAGTTTTGAAACAGACCAGTGATGTAATGTGTTTGCCCCAGAGCAACTGCCATGATTGGCTGAATAGACCCCTGCACCCACCCCATGAGTGAGAAAAAGAAAAAAAAATATAAGAAGCAGAGTCTATGTGGAAGAAGTGGTGATAATGAGTGGGGACAAAACTGAAGGGTGAGAAGGAGGAAAGGTTAAGAGGACAGCAGAGTCAGAGTAAGCAGCTCCACCTACAAAGCTATTGAAAATGGTGGGAGAGTTTATTACTTATTTCACACTGGCTGAAATATCCGTTTAAACACTGAAACAATCAGAACTGGCTCGCTGACGCGTGTCTACCCCAGGTCAAATGACTTGGCAAGCCAACCCCGTAAAAATCAACTCGGCTCTGATCTGCATGATGTGAGAACACCAGACCCGGATTTCTTCAATTACATGACACCATTGAACGCAACGTAGACTTCAACAAATCAAGCCAATCGCTTCTGATCTAACAACCCGAAACAACCCTCTTTACATTCGATAAACATGGAGCAGCGCACTGGTGAGAGGGATTCAGACAGATAAAAGAGCACATTTACTACACCTTGGCTTCCTTACAGGTGGCTCTCCAGTTTTTTACTCTCCTGATTTCTAGCATCAAAGTTAACCCAGAGTGATGGTGTCGCCAAAAAAGGCAGCTGTGGGGGGACAGAGGCCACGCAGCTTGCCAGCGGCGGGTTAGACCTAGCTTTTTTTTACCAGTACAAAGGGAGCCAAATGGTCATTGTTGGGGGGTTAAACTCGTGTTTGAAAAACAGCTTAACGTGTTATTTTCATAGGGGAAGAGGCTTATGTATCTGTATGGTTGAGAATTGTTGCTTGTTTGGAGAGCAAAGCTTTCTGTCTCTGAAGAGGAGTCTCTTCATAAAAACATTTTTCAAAGGAGATTAGTGTTATTTTCTTTTTTATACAAATCTGTTTTTGTTATGGTTTCCTAAAGAGAAAGATGTTTATGGACATTACCCCAACTGAACTGTGGTTGTACAGATGAATTCATTCAGTACTGATGCCACAAATCTCTTCCTGCCTTTCAGATGCTATTCAACACTAGAGTAACTATAAAACATCAATACTCTTGTTATATTGGTTATGCAAAGTATACAATA